AATTTGTTGCTTGGCATTTAGTGTAGAGATGGTAACTTGTGCCACTATCTGCCTGAAATGTTGTCATGACTGGGGTCAAACCCAGTTAGGGTCCCTCAGTTAGTAAACCGTGCTCCCTTGGCATCTGTCAATCTCAAGGTTGAATAGCCTAAGAACCCCCAGTAAGATGCCATCTGCCAATGTTATTGGCATCACAAAATTGCTCTTGAGCATTCATTTTGTCTTCTGTACATCATCAATTTTGAGTAGGATTTCCAGTCTATCCCCAGAATCTTCCATGAATTAAAAATAAATATTTATTTTCAGAAACAATAATTATGCTTACTGTGTTAGGTAAAATAAAATTACAACAGAGCCATTGGAACCAGTAGAACCACTTTGTTTAAAAAAAAAATATATAAGTAGCACATTTATTGAATTCACTCAAGTAACATGAGCACATTTTTAAAAAATCAATTTTAAAAACAAGGGGCGCACATCATGAGCAGATATACAATTTTCAGAAGTTATGGTGCTCAGAAATTGGGATCCTTTTTGGAAATTTTAAAGAAATTACCCTCAAGAATTATTTCAATGGAAACAGTGACTAATTAATTCAATTTGAATTCAATTCGTCAACTTTTTTATTTTAATGCTTTTCATTTTTATAATGTCACCCTTTTTAGTCACTGAACGTGGGGTATGCGTCATACTTGAGGATTTTATCCAAATATTAGGACTCGAAAACCAGGTCCTATTCTAGGGTGTGTGGTACTCGAGCAAATATGGTAACACTGGCTCTTGGACAGGGACATGAAGAAATGACTTTGTTGTAAGCAATTATTTGTTGAAACGAGATTCTTTGTCACAAGATCTTAATCATTCAAGTAACTTTGAAGCATGGAAGGTTGAATTTGAAATTGTTTTTCTGACCACATGCATAAATTAATTACACAAATAGTGCTTTGTTTGATAAACTGCCAAAATCCTCTCAGACCAAATAATGACGTCTTCACCTGGATTTGGCGTCACACTGTATTAAGTTCTGTATTTTTGTTTTCTACAGTTTTGTGAGCACAGTTCTGTCCGCTGTTTTGACGCATCACCTGGGCTGGACAAACCAGTTTCTCAGAGAGATCTCCTCGTCGGGCTCAAACCCCTTGTTAACCCCATCCACGGGATCGTCCATTCAGACCCAAGCTGATGACATCTGCGGACTAGTCGGGTTCCCACCTGTCTCTGCAAAGACTGTCGTCCTCGGAACGGATTTGACCATCATTCACCGATTTCTCGCCTTGATTCCCTACTTCATTCGATGTGATCCCGTCAAAGAAACGAGTTTTGGCCCGCCGAACCTGAATTTGCAAGCGTGCAGAAGCTCAGTGAGCCAAGACACCCTGACCCCTGACTTTTCTCCGAGGCTGAAGCGGACCCGGAGTCATGCTGCAAAGTTGGTGGAAAAGTTGTACCCGGACCTGGGAATGCATAAGAAAACGTTATCTGCGGATTTCAGTGCGAGGCGAGGGGAACACCCGGGAAAACCTGTGCAATTTGTCCTGGGACACGATGATGAACAACTGGTTTTGCATTCGAGCCCGGATTTGCGGGAATGCGCGGATGTGGAATGCGAACCCGTGGAAATGGTTCTGTTGGAGTCTGAAGAAGCTTCTCTCGCAGCAGCAGCGAATAAGGTCTTCAAAGAGTCGCTGAGTGTGGAGACTCTCAAGCCGGAAATATCTCCCAAGCTGAAGCGAACTTGCAGCTTCACGTCGAAATTGGCTGATGAATTCGCGCAGAGTAACGCTTGTCAACACAGGAAAACCAGATCAGCGGATTTCAGACTTTCAGTTCCGGTCCAAGCGGAAGTTATTGCGGAAGATGATGATGACGATGAGAGGAAACCGCCGGTTGTTGAGTTTGTCCTGGGACAGAATGAAAGACTCGTGTTGAACAAGGTCAAGGAACAAGGCGTGTGTGAGAAGCAGTTGATTCAAGTGAAGGAGATGGTGATCCCTGAAATCAAGATTGAAACTGTGACCCCGGTTGGCAGGAGTTGTGCCATCAGAAAGACTCTTGACGGCTGCAAGTCTTGGTCAAGGAGACATTGGCACCAAAGGGTCGATCGGCTCTCCAGAGAAGTAATTCTTTCAATTCCAAGGATTTTACTACAGTACAGTAAAATTCCGTTGCAACGAATTTCGTTATAACAAATTTTTCTTTCTGGAAAAGTTTTTCGTGATTTTTTTACAGTGCAGGTATTTTGTTATAAGTGTTGAGAATTTTTTTCAGTATTCACAGCAGTTTATCCATAGACGCAGTGTTGTAAAAATCTCATTAACAAACTTGATTCAAGTATAACAAAATCTTCGCTCCGTTTCTGTGCATAGGCCATAGGATGTATTTGATAAATGTCAGAAAAGTGGAAAAAAGGAAACCTGATGCAGCATTCCAACTTCATCAGAGAAGCAAAACTTTCTGCTCAGAAAATTTAGTGTTGCAAAAAATTGACAACATGACACTGTTCTCAGAAATTCTTCAGCTCCATTTTAGAATGTATGCCAATCTTTCAAAGAAACATCGTGTTGGAAATAATTTTTCCATTGAGTTTTTTTGCATAATGGGTTTTTGTTACTCATTTCCCAAAATAATACCAATTTAAAATGTGTTGAAGGACACATTGCAGAAGTGGAGAGTCCTTGTGGGCCTCAATATACTGTACCATCATTTTAGAGTTTATAAATTGTCCTCTTTTTAATTTAAAAATGTCAAATTTAATTCAGTACTATGAATTGAATCACAAGCATAGTCTTATTGCATTTTTGAAGGTTTGAGCAATATTTTGAATTGTTGAATCCACCTTGCAAGGTATATTTTGAAGGTGGCTACCACCTTGAAAATGACAGGGAAGGGGCTGTGGCATGAAAGAGTCTCTGTTGGGAAGCACTGGGTTAGTCAATATTGTGCACTCTATACAGTTACGTTTTTTTTTATATGCTTCGTAATTTCTAATTAAATTGGGTCATTTGGCTTTTTCCAACAGGCAGCAAGGGTAACAGTGGTGAGAACCACCCGATTTGACATGAACAACTCACCTAGTCATTGTCAGCGGCGTTCCAGCGATCCAGTGGACGCAAAAGTTCCAGAAGAGTTTTTGGGAAGGTTCTCGCGATTCCTTTCTTTGCAAGTTGGTGATTCTGGTCGAAAGAGAGGATCGATTTCTGAAGGACAAAGAGCTTGTTTGTACCCGAACTTGAGTCTTGAGGAGGATTTTGATGGCCTGGGCTGCTTGCCTGAGCAAGTCGACAATTTGGACCTAGAGGGAATCGATTGTCCAAGGTGTGCTCTCTACAAAGAATTTTAAAAACTCTGTACAGTGTTAAGGATATTTTATGCTGCTCCAAAGTAAGTTAATTGCAGTAATACTCCAATTGTTAATAGAACGATAAAGATGAAACCATTTGTTAATACGAACTATGTTGAGACGATAATCAAGTTCAAAAAGTCCATAGTTTAACTCATTCCAAACATCCTGTAGTTCCACCATTGAAAATTAGCAAGTGGTTTGTTTGATGAATACTCTTATTTACTCAAGTACCACGTACCCTCAAGTAAGACTTGCATCCTTGATTTGTTGGCACAAAATTTGCCCAAAAACCTTTCCCTTCAAAAGACCTGTACCACTGTTTTTGATGGCTGAAAATACAAATTATTTGATTAAATAAAAGAAAAATAAAGCATTGAACAGGAATAGTTCCAACAAAATTTTTCTATGTATTTTTTTCACCAAAGACTAACTTTTGACTTCCAGTGCTATGGTTTAAGGATTTTTTCCTCATGAAAAATTAACTTCGCCCTGCTTATCTGCCTCGATTCATTAGAAAAAAGGTGTGTGTGTACTTGGATAAATATGCTGTATTAGGTGGTTGCAGCTTTGAAATGGAATGACCACTGTATTCACTTGAGTACAGTACCATGCGCTTTCAAGTGCACTTGATATTCTCATCCTAAAATTTGAATAAAAATATAACCCCCAAAGGAGATGGACGCTCCATTTCGAGTCACAGACAAAGTGCAAAATTTTGCAAGTAAAACACGTCAGAATTGAGTTTGGACACAAAATGAATAAATTTCTTCCGCTGAAGAATTCTCAAATTTTCCATGAGCACTGTGTATGAACTTTGAAAAATTTCAAATGAAATTTCACACCTGGTACTGTACTTTATTTTTCCCTTCCCAATTTCGAAACGGTGAATGTGTTACTCGCGTAAAATACAGTTTTTGATAATCTTGTAAAATGGATTTCGCAGGGTTGATGTGCTTGGAGTGAACACGGATCCATCATGGACCCCGAGTAGGACGATGTTTGCAGGGGTGGGGCCAAGAATTGTTTGCGGGGTAGCGCTGAGTGGCGTCCTGGTGCCGCCCCCGAGTTCCTCTGCATCTGGAATGCATCATGGTGGACCGCCGCCGCGGCTACATGTACGACCTTCAAAAAGGTCACGCTGCAGCAGGTTAAGTAGTCCAAAGGAGAGCAGGTGGAGAAGGTACAGGAGTAGTAGAAGTTACTAGAAGGTCTCCCGAAACTACTATGACTTGTGTGCGAGTGTGAAGGCATGTGACGTGCAACCAGAGGCTGTTTGCATTTTGGCTGACACTGGGAATTGGTGAGGTTTCCAGAAGATTAAAATTTGTGCCCTGTCAAAGTCACAATGTGTCTTTTTTGTTGGTTTAGGGTTGTGGAGACAATCAACCAGCCAAGAAGTGTATCCTGGCCTTTGAGTCAGGCGCAGGGACAAATGGCAGTCGCAGCACCATGTGTTGCCAGCATGTTGGAGACTGTTGTCAGTTTGGCCAAAGCATTCTGACTAGGGACCTGTCACTCATAATGACCTTTTTGATGTAGTTACATACAAGACTTACAGACCACACAGAGTCTTCGACCACAAATTACTATTAAATAACCACCTTCGTATTTTCTCTATTAATCAAAGGTCTACCTATACCTGGAAGTAATTTGAAGTATTTTGGGGTACCCATAGCATGGTTGTCATATCTTGGAAAGTGTCTCTTCAAATATTTTATTAAAATTTTTGGGGGCTCTTAGATTCACTGCAAATTCATCAACCATTTCCACACAGATGGTAAACTTATCTATTTTGTTTCAAATATTCCAGCATAATGGAATAAAAAAAAAAAAACTGGAGGAATGGGCAACTACTATATTTACCATGTGCACCAGGGTTATTCATTTGAAAATTTTGATGAAATACTATCCCTGAGTAAGAAGCGCCCCCATTTTTGGTGACTCAGAAACCCCAACATTTCAGAAACAACTAAAGAATAACTCCCAAAGTGGAATGTAGACATGAACTGAACCTCAATTCAATAAAATACTCATTGAAATATGCTTTTCTCTTGAACTTTGTCTAAAATTTCTCATTGCAATCATGTATGATGCACACATAGAATTCTAAAACTTTTTGATGAATGTATACCCAGCTTTGACACACATCTCCCTTTTCCTCTAAAATTTGAGAAAAAATTGAGTAAATGAGGTAGAATTCTCTACAAATTATGTCCCTCTTTTCCATTTTGGCTGATGCGGGACTAAAACAAGGGAAATGGAGGGCTCTGAAAACTTGAAAATCAGCCCTTTCACAATGCAGTGTTTCCAAACTTTGTCCCGTTTTTTTCCCAGAATTACACATTGTGTGAAGATGTCACTGGCTGTCACAGTGGCATTTTTATCTTGCCATGAGACGCAGGTTTCTTCTGTCATTCTTTTCTGTTCACATAAGCTGAAATATGGCAGACTATTGGAGGGTTGAATGGAATTTTGACGCACAAGGATTAATTTTTCTTTTTTCAAACTTTTCCGTTACAGTACTGTACTGTATTGTGATATTTTTTCTGCGCAGAAACATATTTTGTGTGTGGATATTTTAGATTCTGTGTAAATCCATGATGAAAGATCCATTGTGTCTATGTTGCAGTGCATGACAATATTAGAGAATCACTTGAGGGAGATGTTCTTGAGGAGCTTTGCATTGAAGGAATACCTGGTGATGCTGAGCGAAACTGGAAACTGCGATATTCAGCAAATTACATTTTTTTTTTTGGTAAAGAAAAATTCCTGTGATTCAAGTGGGGTTCCGTCAGGGCTAGAGACTTTATTTGCTGGGGTTGAATCTTCGTTACTGAACAAATTCTAGTCGTTGTGGCAAGAAAAAAAAAATTAAAATTTAATCAAAAAGGGCTGTTTTCACTTCAACGCCAGAACACATCAAGAAGTGCGCTGCTATTGACTCCTCAGCGCCATCTATGTTTCACTGGAAAACCAGTTTTTTGTGAAGCCAGGTCTTGGTTTCTTCTTCACCTCTCCAATTTGTCAAATTTTCTTTTTACGCTTCCGAAGTTGGAACCGTCGTTTACTTATTTGATTCATGATTTAAAACATTTTATCAATTTGTTCATAAAAATTACTTTCAAGAAGCTTGAAGTATGGCTTACGGAAGTTTTCGGTACTGAAAAATATATACTGTAGATACAGTTTGTATAATTCAGTGACGATTTTTGGTCAGCCTCCAGCTTAAATTATATTTTTCAATTTTTTTGATTACGCTTTTCAGTACAGCAAACAAGTCAATTTTTCAATTTAATCTCAAGTGACTGTAAATTTGAAAGAGACGGTGTTTCTGTGAAGATTTTTCTGTCGAGTGATCTTTTATTTCAACCTCTATGCTACATTTGGTGCGCCATCTACTGGTTGCAAGTGAAAAATCCCCATTTTTCGAATGCGAACGATTGGCTTTTTGGGTTTACAGTATCATGAAATCATAATTTTCTTGAAATGCTCAAAAAGTCATTTTGTCCTCTCTTTGAAATGAAAAGAAGGAATGGAAGAACTAAGCTCAAGGAATAGTTGGCTGGAATTTGATATTTGATGGTTCATGTCAGGGGATTTTATTTTCATCAAGTGAAATGTCAACTGCTGCAAATGGCGGGCCTCACGTTGCATTTTACCGGGCTGTCGAGGGAACTTGGGTGTTTTCATGTCAATATTTTTGCGCGAATTTCAGATTTTTTTTTCTTAACTTGACTGGCTGTGATAAAACTATCCATGCAAGTTACTGGAAAAGAGGTCGGGAGTGTGTATTTATTGTATTAATCCAATGGCAGAACTGCTTTTTTATCAGTGAATCGGATCATGACTGTGAACGAGCGTAATTATGTGGGAAAATCAAAACTTGCGGCATTTAATCGCGATCTAAAAAAAAATTGAATTGAATGGAAATGCGAAGCTGAGATTTCATTTGGAATATTGCGACGTGGTAGTTATGTGAAAGGGGAACTTAGCGCAAATTATTTTTACATGCTTCCTGCTTCAGTGAGTAACGTTATTTTGCCAATTCAACACTGCAATCAATTTTGTTCAGATTTGTCAAAATTATCTGATGGCTTGTTCTGTATTTGCTCGGAAATTTTCCCCCTTTTTATGCAAAACCTCAGTTTCAGGAGGGGCATTTTTTGTTTTAATGTCCAATTTTAACTTATTCCTGCTTACAATGCATGACCACATACTGTATTTATCATAGTAGAATCTCATTAAAACAAATTTTGTTAATCCTAGTTTTAAAAAGAAATTCTTTTTTAGGTCCCTGCTACAATGTTCTGAATAATTTTTTCAACAAAGCTTGTCTCCCAGTCCCAGAAGCTCCTATTCGACAAGATTTTACTGTTTTGCAATCCCTTAATTTTATCAAGTTATGTTTTATTACATATTTGAGCAATCTTTGAAAGGTTCATATAAATAGATGCATCAGCAGTAAAAATTGCAGGGGACAGGTTCCGCAGTTGTAAGATTGAAATTATTGGATCAGTGATTTTTTTGGTGAAGCGTCAAGAAATGGAAATACTGTACAGTGCAAGATCAAAAGGTTTTCATGAATATAGAAGTTGGAAAAGCTCATCAAGCAGATTCTGCAAAATGATTCACATTTCTGTTCACTGTTCATTCAAGCAAACTGTCAAGCCGTTTTTCAAAATTCAACTTCCCAATAAAAAAAGGGAGTGTTTGCCAATTGTTGCTGCAAATAGACCCTGTTTATGCCAAACACACCAAAACAAGAGGGCATCAATTAGTTCCAGAGATCCTGACTCACATTCCAGGTAGAATTTCACGCCATAACTTTGTGTAAATTTTGTTTTATTTTAGCAGTGCACTCAAGAATATCACAGTTGCACATACTTCACAAAACATAGCCAGATGTCGCGTCATGTAATTACAGTATACAAGCCACTGAAATGTGGTTGAAAACTTCTCTTAAATGCCGTGCTTCTAACACACCAAAACTGCAAACTGTGCTATTCTGTTCATTTCATGGGCGAGGTTCATCTCTAAAAACTTTGTAGGAACACTTGAAAAAATAACCCTCAACATGTTCACAATCCAGTGCTGGAACCAAACAAATAAACAAAAAAAAACAAAGTGGCACTGCATGATCTACAGTAGAAACATGAAACAAGTCAGGGTTGCCAACAGGGTGATGAGAGACGCTGCAGATGCTGATGTGGGTGCAGAGTTGAGCCTGGATTCCAGTTGATGCGGGCTGAAGGGGGAGTTGTCCAGGTCATTGGTGTCACCTGAGTGTGCTGAGTGAACAAGGGCACTGTTGATGGCTGTGAGCAGTGGGTGCTGGCCCTTGCCACAGATTCCCTTCAGATCATCACTGTTCACTGACCAAACCATGGCACCACCCAGTCCCAGTCTCATGGCAAACTGAACCTGTTTGATTTGAGTATATCACCAAATATTCAAACCATAATGTACGAAAATGAGTCACTAAATGGTGATACCCTTTAAACCATCAAAAATATTATCTCTCACCTTGGGCAATTTTTGCAAATGTTCTGGGTTTTGAGCCCAATTTAATGGAACTGGATTAAAGAATACAGTATATACTGTAGCAACCAAACTGTACAGATATGATACTATATGTAGGTTAACTCAGGTACCAGATGCACCTTCTTTTGAAACTATAAGCGGAAAAAAGAGGAATTGCATAATATATTGTAATTGATTCCAATAAGACATTTTCGACCAGTTTCAATGAACAATCCAAAAATGGAAACTGCTTAAAATTAAATGTTAATTTTGTTACATTGCAAGTCTATATTTAAATTTTGACGCGCGCGTGTTTCATTAAAAATGAAATTTTCAGTCAACAGGAATGGAGTGCATATCTTACTTCAGGATTCATTTTTATCTGAATTTTTTGTACTTGAAGGCGCTTTCAGATTTGACAGATTATCAGTAGTAGGTGAACACTGTGTTTATGCAACAACAAAATTGCATAAAAATATTTGTTTTAATGTGGCAATAGATTTATTTGATACCTTGGGTATTGTTCCTCAAACCTCCCAGTCTATTTCACCTATTGAAAATTACAAAAACTCAACCTTGAGGACAGTTTTCTTTTTGCTCAAACTTTGCAAAACTTTACTGTAAACAATTGGCTTGTTCCATTAGGAAGCAATTTTTTTTGGAAATTTTTGCAATGCATCAGGAGTCCCTTTGCAAAAACAAATTTAAACCTTGAAAATACCTCTCAAGTTTAGTAATCTCTGTACCCCTGAAAAATGGGAAGATTGCAAACCTTGAGTTCCAGACTCCTCTCATTGTCGAAAGAAACCCAGTGAGTTCCATTAATGAGATAAGGCACAGCTTGTTCATTGTCCCATTTCTCCTCCTTCCAGAATCCCTTCATGTCCTTTTCACATATCTATATAATAATAATATTAATTGCAATTAAGACAAATCAGTGTCAGATATGTTCAATGATTAGGATGGTATTTGATGAATGACTCACCTCAAGATAGCTCAGGAAACCATTTTCCCTAGTGTATGGACCCATGAAACCTCTATCAGAGGTTGGGGCACCAACAGAAGTGTCAATGGCACCATTGGGGGTGTAACCAGTGAGAACAAAGGACCTGCCATAGAGTGGCAGTCCAAGGACCATTTTCTCTGGTGGACACCCAAGATCTAGGTACTTCTTCACTGTCATTTCCTGCAAAATAAGGAAGAAATTTTATGTTTGCTTCTATTCTGAGATTGTGCATATTGCTACTGTATTATATACTTACAACATTCAACCCTTGACTTTCCTCAGGTTCATCCCTGCTTGCATGCAATGGTGCATTGTGTCCTGTTTGCTTGTCCCATGGTCCATGGTAGTCATAGGCCATGACATTCACTAGATCCAAGTACCTGCTCATCTCTCTCACATTGTAGGACTCTTCAATGTGTGCTACTGTAGCTCCAACTGCAGCAGTCAGCAAGAAACCATGAGGCTTAAAGGCCTTTTTCAAGTCCTGTCAAAATGAAAAAAAATTTTATGCTGAGGATTCACAGTAAAAAAAAATTAATTGTGATGAAAATATGATTATTTCTTGACTACTCAGACAGTTGTACCAATTTTTTTAAATGAGAAAACAAGGTTCACTATTGTCACAACTTGAATAATGTTTCTAGACTATTTAGGCTTTCTGAGTGTTACCAAATATTTGAAATGATTTAAAATCTTGCATCCCAGTTGATTTCTGTGTTCAAATGAAAAGGCTTTGGAGTTTGGCAAATTTTTTTGTCCTATGTCTTACATGTTAAGTTTTGAAGTGTCAATTAATGAAAAAGTTTTTCAAATGATTTTATAAAACCATAAGCAAAGTTTCAATTCTTTTAAGGTTGTGGCTCAGGAACTTGGGAATATTAAAACTGTATTACAAAAGTATAGTACTCACAAAATTTTGCCTAGCATGTGGAAATTGATGTTTAAAAAATGAATGTTGAGTTTGGGAAACATACCCTGATTAGCTCAACAAAGTTTTGCTTGTCCTCAGGTTTGCCACCACGTCTTGCAGGGTACTCCCAGTCAAGGTCAAGTCCATCAAATCCAAATTTCCTGAAAACACAAAAATATTCTCATGAAAAAGGATAAACACAGAAAAAAAATGAATGATAGAATCAGAAAAATTGGACTCACTTGAGCATCTCCAAGACTGATTCCACAAATGCAGCTCTTCTCTCCTTGGAGGCAGCCATATTGGAATAGTTTTCAGAGCCTTCATTCCACCCACCAATGGCCATCAAGACCTTCAGCTTAGGGTTCATGGCTTTCAGTCCAACTGATTTTTCATACCATCCTGCCAATAAATAAAACTCCTCATGACACCACTTGAAAAAAACTTGGTGAATTCAGAGTGAAAAACTTACCTCGGCCGCCATTTTCAGGGTAGTCAAGAAATGGATCCAAAGACCTGATGGAGTCAGTCTTGTTGTCCAGCCCAGCAAAGCTGTACACTACATGAGTGCACAACTTTTGGTATGTGTGGGCAGGATCATCTATGTCAAACTTCCCATGGCCTGGGCTGTATGTGGCCCAGCTGCCCAAATAGCACAGCAGCACTGGCCCTTGCTTTGCACCATACCCTGGAGGCAAACACACATAACAGTACAGTACTTCAGACCAGTCATTTGTAGGAAAGTAACAAATAAATTGTATAAAATAACATTTCCATTTTAGATACATGAGACTAAAAACTTTCAAAACACTTCAATATGCCTTTAGAATAACAATGAACTTACTCTGTAAGAACTATCAACTATTGTTGCAAATCTACTTTTCCAGTTTTCATCTTCATTTTCTAAGTTTCCAGAATATTAATTTTGATGATCATGTGGTAAAATTTCAGATGAAGAGCATAAATGGAAATTATGTTCTTTTATCAGATTTTTCTCAACTACTTTCAGATAAGCGACCCGAATTTTTCGAGAGTCTCAAGAACTTCCGCCAGGCTGAACTTCCAAAGGTCGAAATCTCAAGTAATGACTAATTTGACCTGCCAAGCATCACATTAAAAAGAGCTCAGGAGCCTGAAGCATAGAGTCAAAGTGTTAGGCCACAGTTACAAAAAAAACCATAGAAGTATTTTGCTTATTATTGCTCCAAAAGTCATCATTTCTGATTTATTGAATTTCAAAAATCTTTTGATATGACTCATTTGATCTGCCAAGTGATTAAAAAAAGAGCTCATTAGCATAAATCACAGAGCCATTGTCAGAACTGAGATAAATCTCCCATTATTTCTTTTAAAAAGGAAAATATTCACATTTCATAAAAATGTACCAACAAAGGTTTACCTCATTGTGAATTACTTCAAATTATGCAAATGAACTGTGGAGGGGCATATTTTTAAGATCATCAGAAGCCTGAGTCACAGAGCCATAGTATAAATCCCACATTTTTGATAAGAATCAAGAACAACATCCATATTTTCTATACCAATGAGTCATTTAGTAATTTTGATTTATTAGAGTTCAAAAACCTTCAGGTATGACTCATTTGATCTTAGAAGCAACCAAAAATAAAAGAGTAACTAATCTGAGTCACAGATTCACTGCAAAAACTGGAATGAATACATCAAGGTCTTATTGGAAAATATGTAAAAATAATCACCCAAGTGAAAAAAATAATTTCAAGTTAAGCATATATAAATTGTGAAGACAGCCTATCTCAAAGAGCTCATCAGCCAGTCACAGGGACAAATTTCAAACTGCTTTCAGCCTATCAAAATTGTCTGTAACTACTGTTTTAAAAAACCCAAAAAAATTGAAAATTTTCGTCTTTTTAAATATCTTTCCAAGGTGAAGCAAAAAAAAAACAAGCATAAAGGTCTGAATCACATGGCCACAATCGAATTCCACAGAAAAAAGGTCCCCCTATTCCACAAGAAATCAGAAATTCAAATCTTTTACCCTGAAACCCCTCCTCTGAGCTCATCTTAATACACCATCGAAAACAAGGTGAACTCCACTAAAAAAAAAAAAAAATCAGTCAAGAAATCTCCTCCAAACCATCAGCAAAATTGAATAAAAAAAAAGAGAAATAGGAACGCGACCCATTGCAAAAACAATATACACAAATCCATAAATTTTAAAATCCCTTCAGGAAAAACAGTTTCTTGGCCTCGAAAAAAAAGGGAACCTCGATGACATCTGTTGCACCTGCTCCCCCCCCCCCCCCCCACACACACTCATTTTATTTTTCCCCTTATATCTTTAAAAGTCCCTCAAAGAGAAATCCGTGATGGAACAGGTGCACCAGCCTGCAGGAAACTGTTCCAGTCCAAGGCACAAATTATTTTACACTCTCTGGGCACATGAAAAAAAAAATGCTCTTCTTACACTCACCTCATCAAGGACTATACAAGAAAAAAAATAAAAATAAACAAATGAAGCCCAGTGACTCAAAGCTCCTGAGGAAATGAGATAAAATCAGCAGTAGAGAGAGAGAGAGAGAAAACGTGTACCAGGCAGTCGCTTTATACTCTTAATTAAAATTCATTTAATCCCGGAGGGGGGGGGGAAAAATGGAGAGGAATGCGTATTTTTTCCTCCTGAGAAAAAGAAAAATCTCTTTTCTTTCTTCTGTGCGACCGAATTCCCATTCAGCCCCTTTGACCACATTTAGCATAAAGTTTGTTCCGCACAAACAATTGGTGTGCCACATACCCAAAAAAAAAGAGAGAGAGAGAAGATATGGGCCTCATTCCTCAAACCAGCGTTTTTTTTTTTGAATCAGGGTTTTAACCTGTATATTGATTCACAAAAATGTTTCTGACTTTTTCAAAAAATTTGATTTACAAATAAACAGCATTGACACATGATCTTTCAATCAAAGTTGCCCCTTTGAATATCCAAAATACTGTATTTCACAAGATTTGTTCCTTCAACTGATTTAAACTTGAGTTATGCACACAGGATACCACAATAAAAACTATATGAAAATGTCAAAATACTTGGAGTAATGAGTCACTTCAAAAAGTAAGAGATTCAAGCAAATGAGGAATTCCATGTTTATAACTCAAATTTGAACTCACTGAGTGAGTATAAGTATATAACTGGTTGAGTGTGTCACAAACTAAATAAATTTACAGTATTTTGTATCTTTTTTTAGCTTAGGGTAAATTAGGTCTTTAGTGGCCTAATTAGTTTTGATAGATTTTGGAACTTCATCAGTGAAGGGCACAAAGGTAATTAAGGTGATCAAATATGATGATGTCACCAGTTCATGATTCCTCCTCTTCACATAATTCACCTAACAAGCAAACATCCATCAATAAATTCACTTGGTAAATTCATCAGTGTAAAATGCTGCTAAAAACCTTATGTTCTTTCAAAAACGAAATTCACCTACTTTTTTCTTGCTGAATTTTAGGAGTAAATGACTTGTGGTACTCAAATTAATACTGGGTGGCATACCAAAATTGATTTGCACACAGGTGATTTGCATATCTTGAAGCGTTTCACCATCAGATAATCCTTTATGTCGATGAGTTTCAGGAAATTTGGATGTTCTGTATTTAAGATGGAAATCATTGGAGATTTATCCCAGATTTGACAAGGGCTCTGTGACTCAGGGTAATCAGCTTTTTTTTTTTGGTAGATTGAATGATTCATAGCTAAGGGCTTTTGATGTTCAATAAATCAGAAATAACGAAAACGAGGAAAACTTTCTTTTCGGATTTCTTACAAAATGCGGGGTTTGAAAACTGTGACTTTTCAAAGACCCGATTCGCAACTGCAGTACGTATGTTGAAAGAGGCGCCATCTATCATATCTTATCGTAGAATCCCGGGTGATGATGCCCAAATGCAAAATTTTATCCAAGAAAAGGAAATACACATATTTTTCTCACCTCCATGAGCCAGTAGGAGAAGAAACCAAAAGGCGGATCCGAATTGCTTCGTTGGAAGCATCCTAAAAAAAAAATTAACAGCCACTGACCAGAACTGCTGATTACAACAATAAAAAAAATCAGAGGAAAAGAAGAATGTTAACCCAGATAACAAGGCGCAAAACTCTCGGACCGAATCATTCTTCCAGCCAAGTTTCTATCGCGAATCTCATCGGTTTGAAAGAAAGAAGAAGAAAAAAATCACAGGTGACCCCAATTCACTGTCACGACGGGCCGTAATTCCACGTACCTCAACAACCTTCCCTGAGGGCGACTCGGGATGCACTGACCGAGTGGCAGTTGGTGAGTGAAGGAAAAGCCGTGTCTTGTGAGCAAGTCTCTCTCTTTCCTACTCTCCGCCTTGCGTCTCTCCGGGTCACGATGTTAGCCCCACGCCAGCCTCTGTCCTTGATGCGCACGCGCTCTGGGCGTGCGCCAGGAAGAGTGCCCGTCCAAAAGCGTATATCTTGCTATCTCTTGTAAGATAAGGTCTAATATAGCGTCCAAAAGGGGGGAAATCATTTTTTGAAGAGATCTGAGTACATCTAAACACTCTCTCTATTTGAACCTACTGACTGGGCATATATTCAAGCTGTTGATACTAAAATACTCCGCAAAAATTGTATCCATATCCAACAAGACTATTATTTGATGGATAAAATGGGAACAGGTTATGCTTTTGAAATACTTGGATAGGTATTTCACATTCATTCCACCACTGGAAGATGGTTATTCTGATAACAATTGTTATCAGAGGGATCACAGTGAATAAAGTACAGTACAGTATAACAATTACTTATACAGGTACTTCAGGGGAGCAGAAAAAATTGTTTTAGAGGAAAATTCGTTTTAGAGAACGTCTATGCTGGGAAGGAACCCGATGGGGAAAGATTCGGTTATACAGAGAAAATAACTGTACACAAGATATTGATGTAGAGAGATTCTACATGCTGTATAATATAGAAAAAAAGCCATTAGTCTATACTGAAAATACAAGTTCAAAACTTTAAAAAATATTTGCAGTTTCCACTCACTTACTTTAACGCTTGCATTTTCATCATATTTACACCTTCAGCTATGAATTCATGTGACTAAAGCCTTTATTGGTTTACTTGAAAGTCTTGACTTTTTTGTTTTTGAATCGATGGAGATGGTTATACCAGTCGTCACAAAAATGCATAAAATCTCTGTCTGATGAGCTGAAATCATTGGAGGCTTGTTTTTAGTCTTGCTCTTGTCCCAAAATTGATTGAGAAGATTATTAAACCGGAATTGAACAAAAAACTTAGGTTCAAGGTGTAGTGTAAAAACTAAAACTTAGCAACCAAATATTTTTTCACAAAATCATGATATGTTTAAGGTAAAGCCCAGCAGTATTCCGCTTAAAAACAGTGGGGTACATAATGTATATAGCATTCTCAATGAACATACCGTATTTTCTTGTGAGTGAAATAATTTTGAAGCCTGCAATCTAAACTTGCAAAGATTACATAGTTTTCCCTAAAAGAAGCTGAGAAAGAAATGATTTTACGTCGAAGAAAGGACTTCCTGTTTACAAAGCAGGTCTGTTAATGCTTCTATACAGGTGATAAGACTGATAACACACTCCCACCAATTGACAAACAGAGATGGTATCAGGCAACCAGTGGTGTAGCCACCAATGTACTTACCTACTTCCACTGCACAGTAAGGGGCTCTTCTCAGGAAAATACACAGATTAATGAGTGAACTTTCGAGAAAATACCCCTTTTTGAGCTTCAGATTACTTTACGTACAGCTTTAAGTAGTTACTTACCCTAATGATAAAAATAGATTTCGTCTAAATCCACCCTTTAGGTTCACGTCTATTGCCAAGGTTTACCAGATCTAGTGCACTGATGGCCTTGCAACCATTCCCGGAAAATCAGGCTCACCCTTGGGGTAGCCCCAAAAATGCAAAAATTTGTTTGTCTTGCTTCCTGTGCCTCCCCCACTAGTATTCTGTCCCATGAAAAAAAAAAACATGGAACAAAAAACTGGATTCCTTGTGATTCACTTATTGTTTTCCACCGAAACTTGCATAACAGACCAGGAAAAAAAGGACCCATTGTGCAATGGTACAATGCTGGAGGAGTCTCTTATTGATTGACACAATTCCTTTCACTGGCTTCCCAAAAGACAAAAAGCTTCCAGTCCAATGACCTGGTCACATACTGGCCAAAAGCTCATCCTTTTGTTTCTTCTATTTTATGGGTGTGTCACCAGCAGAAAAAAAAGTAACACAATAACCAGGAAAACCTCTCTCAAAAACACATCCTGTTCCTCAAAAAGATAGCAACAATTTCACAGAAATAGTCTTATCTCGCCACCATTCAAATAGCAGAAAAATGAAAAGCCTTGTGAGAAAAATGTTCTTTAATTTTCCTTCCACAAAACAAAGTTTTCTGAATCATCAATCTCACACTTGTGTGCAAAAGAGAGACAACAAAACTGGCTTTCAAACACATGGGNCAAAAAGATAGCAACGATTTCACAGAAATAGTCTTATCTCGCCACCATTCAAATAGCAGAAAAATGAAAAGCCTTGTGAGAAAAATGTTCTTTAATTTTCCTTCCACAAAACAAAGTTTTCTGAATCATCAATCTCACACTTGTGTGCAAAAGAGAGACAACAAAACTGGCTTTCAAACACATGGGCTCCAGATGATGGTGTCAAGTTTTCATGGGATGATTTCTGGTCTGTAGATCTCTTTCTCAGTCAGCCCCAGGCCCTTTGTGTCCCCCACCCAGGGGTATTTTGGGGGACAAGACACACATGTGGTCATGTACCTGCAAAAAATAAAAAGAAGGAAGGGAAAAAAATGAAGAAGTTTGTCCATCAATGGCTCCTTTCCCCACAATAGTGGTTTCACCTTGAACCAGCAGTCTCTCCTGGCCTCTCAGAAATCAAAGGCCCACAACTGGTGGGCCTTTTGCATGGTGGCTCCCTCTTGGGCTGTTTGGTGCAATCCCAAGCCTCCAGATCTATAACTTCACTATTTGGCACAGGGTCTGTGATCCAAAGTAATGCTTGAGTAGCTGTCACAAACCACACATCATCTCTGCAAAAGGAGAAAAAAAATGAAGAGAAATGTTGCATGCAGACTAGTGATTTTGTGACATTGTCCAGATAGCCAAATATTTACGTTCTGTACATTAAAACATTTAAGAATTCAGGCTTCTTTGCTTCCTGTAAATGAGGTGGCATAGAATTGATTCACTGAAGCATGGTTAATTTCAGTTCAGTTCTATGCATCATACCAATGCAATAGTTCAATACACACTTTTTCAGAGCCCAGTCCACAAACAAGTGCAGACCCTTTTCCAGCTTTGCTTGCTGGAACCAGTTGGTATGGAAAGCCATCACATATGGAGCTCTGTTCTGGTTGTAGTATCTCTCAAAATCCTCCCTGAGCCAATTGAAAATGTCCTCAGGGTCATGATTGAACAAGACACATTGGTCCAAGTAGGGACAATGGCCACCATCATAGTCATGCACATGGTGAGCATTCAGTGGTATTTCCCAAATACCTGCAGAAAATCCAAATCATATGCTTACTTGGGAAACAGAGGCAGAACAAATGGAAAGAACCATCTATACAGGAATGTGGAGGAAACCATACCAAATTAAATGGGTACTTTCCTATTATCTTAGTACCTACTTTCCTGTTATTGCTGTACCTTCCCTCTGACCAATTTAACCTGACCTAACTTAACTTCACCTAACCACCTCCCAAAATCAGTTTCTGCTTTCTTTGGGTTTCTGCTGAAACTGATTTTGGGAGGTGGTTAGGTAAAGATAGGTTAGGTCAGGCTATGTTAGTTGAAAGATATTTGTAACTAACATAACATGACCCAACCTAACTTTACCTAACCACCTCCCAAAATCAGTTTCAGCAGAATGCGGAAAAATAAAATTCAGTTTCTATGGTATAGGTTGTTGTGATTATGAACTCGTCCTAAAGATTTGTCTGGATGGTAGTGTGGTCTAGGAATGAGGTACTGAGATAACAGGAAAGTACCATTAAAGGTTCACACCATATTATGCAGGTATAATGCACTGGTAAGTTTCTTGGTTGGCATTAGCAATGTTACACACACACACCTGGAAAGGATTTGGTAGGACAAGTGCCAGCTTTGCATTCATGAGAAATTTCATAGTCCAGAGTATATGGCCACACTGGCTTCTGCAAGGGTGGCACACCAACACTGGAATCATATGCCAATTTGAAGTCCCTCAAAACCTGCGCAAGAGGGATCGCATCATGAATTCTGACAAAATAAAAGACACAATAATGTGTGCAGAAAATAAAATAACCCACCTCATATTGAGCATTTCTTCCTGGCATTAAAAATGGTGCCCGCATTCCCAGGATGTCCTCAATAGACACATTGGCATACCTTCTCAGGATTTCCCTCATGCCAATCATCTCATCTGTCCATACTTCATAGTCCCCATTATGAAGGTTATTCTTGTGGCTAGAAAAAAACTATGTCAGAGAATACTGACCTACATTTTCAGTGTTCAGTGAATGTGAAAAGAAATATAGATGAAGGATACCTGATGGTGTGCAGTGCAATTTCATGACCCTCTGAATAAAAGTCTTGTATCATCTGGTAATTTGAGTACTCATGAGTAACAAAGAAAGTTCCAAGGATTTGACATCCATTTGGGTTTGTGCGATTTCCATTGAATACACTTTTGTACTTCTCATAGTTGTTCAGATTCACTGCATCATCAAATGTCATCAAGATCATTTGTGGTACCTGTGGATTCCACAAATATTCAAAATTCAATCAGTCTTCAAAATAATGCATAAATTGAAAGAAATTGCAAGACTTCTTAGCTGCTGAAAATAAATTCTGTATAGGGGAAAATTAGCACTTACATGGCACATTTCAAAGAAGTTGATTCTTTTTTTGTACCTTGAGTTAGTAAGAACTCTGGTAAGCCTTGAGGTTTTCATTAAACTCCCCCATTCAATCCCAATAAAACAACTTTTTATATGAAAGGCAGCAGTTAAAATTACAAAAAATATATATGACAAAAGGAGTACAAAAATGTTAAATAAAGCTCATTTCAGAGGATTTTTATATTTGTTCTTTGATGAATAGGGGAAAAAACTTGCATCTTTTGGATCCATGTCCTTTGGGATTCTTGTGCCATCGCTTGAGCAAAAGCAGTAAGGAAGTTGGCACTGGTTTGGCTCACACTTCCTGGCAGAATCAGGCCCAATAGTTGTTGTAGGGGCTTCAGCTGCAAAACATTAAACACTCATTCAAAAATCCATGCTTGTATACTGTATATAAAATGGGCTTACTTGTAGATATAGGTCCACAGTGGGCATCATTCTTGAAGGTGCAGCTCTTGCTGATGTCATCAAAGTAGAGCCCTGGTGGGCAGTAATTCAAGTAAGGATGCTTTTCCACACAAGAAATGAACCTTCTGCAGGTCTTTGGGTCAGCAAACAGCCCAGTTGGTTGTGGACATTCAAAGTAGTCAGCAGAGTTTCTCTTCTCCCTCACTATTTCCCCAGGTGTCACTCCTCCACAAGTCAGCAGCAACAGCAACAAACAACTCCCTGTGTGCACAGAAATCACTCTCCCTCATTAAAAAATTCCTGAAATTTTCATTTCACAACTCACCACACAGTCTGTTCACCATGTTGATCACCCACAGCAATTGCACAAAGACAAAATCACCACTAACCAGGAAAAATATTTTCCCCAAGGTCTTGCACCACACCTCTGAGAGCAATGCACTTATAGGGTGTGTGTTGCAATCCAGAAAAAAAAATGGAGATAAATCCGCCTCTTTTTTTCCTCTCTCTACAAAATGCTTATTCAAAGCACACAAAAAAGGGAGTTCTTCACTTGACCATGGAGTTTCAATGCTGGATACACTATGGCCATCTGAAACCAGATATACACATTCTCAGTATTTTTTTTTTTCGAAAATGCTCACTCATTTTGAATAAAAGGAAAACAAAATGCAGCAGAGAAACAGGGACTTTTGCAAATTCCTATCAAATACACTTATTCAAATAGCACACAAAAGATGTATTGGCCATGGAGTTTCAATGCAGAGGATCAATAGTCTGAACACAATCTCAGCATTGGTTCAGAAACATTTCATTGTGAATAAAAGAAAACATTACCTTTTGACCTCAGAACAAAACTCAGCAGAAAAACAGAGACTTATTCAAATACTTATTTTAAATATTCAAAGCAAACACCAAAATGGAGTTCTTCAATATTGCTCATATCATGAAGTTCCACTGCAGGATACACTCCATGCTGGCCATGATCTTCAACCAGATACACAAATTATTCTCAGTATTGTTTCAGTAACACTCACTTTGAATAATTATGGAGGAAATATTTATATTTGAGCTCAGAACAGAATCCAGCACTGTAGAGAAACAGGGACTTGGTGATGGTGCTGCTGCTCCACTTACAGTATTTCTAAACTGGATCAGTGCAACAGCCCTTGGCTGCTCTGGTCCACTTCCTTGGCTTCATACAAATAAAACAACGGGTACCTTGAGCTTTATATTAACAATAAAATGCCCCCAAGATAAGAATAGTGTGCCACACACACACTCATTCCACAGCAAAAAAGTAACACTATATAGTATTTCACCAATTAGAAACACTCAAAAATAAAATAAAGCATGATGGGGTTTTCTGCATATATGAGGAATACACTGTATTATAAAATATAAATAATATGAGGGGAGTGCCCAATATATATAGAACCCTGATCTGCTGCCCTTTTCCTTATGGAACATTCGAGACCCCAACTGCATGAACACTACTGATCAACTGAAAGTCAGTCAAAC